GAGGGGATTTCTTAAAATCACCCCGCAATTCTTCAGCTGAGACACTTGAGTTAGAAAACACAAACACTGCAGTTGTCTTTACTCGCGAGGACAAGTGACAGAGCGCTCGTACACGTAAGAGACACTCACGGACTTGTGGTCTGTCACCATCCTGCTTTCTTTATTTATACAAGAGAAATGAAAACATTCGTTCAGTGACATAAGCATGTGCATATGTGATTGTGTGTGTGTGTAAGGTCAGAACTGCTTGTTCAACTTCTAACTATCGCTTGTGGGAAGATTCAGATACAAATATCAGAACACGTTTTCATAAAGAACAATCAGTTCTGAGCAAGGAAAAGATCATCATGCAGCATTCTATCACAAATAAACTTATATCATTAAAAGCTTATGCTGACTAAACAAAATACAATTTTCTATTGACATTCCTTCCTGTTGTCAGTATAACCTTTTAAGTGAGATATCAGTATGTAACATCTTGTTGTACATTTTCTGTCACATCATCATTAATCACACAAAGTCTTCACATTCCAACAGGTCAGGGTCATCATCATCATCATCATTTGTCACGGCTATGTATGCAGCTTCAGTGGAAACGATTATGCGGTTAATCATGAGTTTTAGACATGGCAGGATACATGTTACAAAAACACAAAAAAAATAAAATAAAAGTAAAAATACTCCAACTCCGATAAGCAGTCTTTTTAGCACCTGTAGCCAGGGGTCAGTGTAAAGCCAAGAAAACCAGTCACTTGTATCACTCACATAATCCTGATTTTGGGCCTGCTGGATCTGTCTCAAGGCGTTCAGGGCGTCAGTCATGTTTGTTTAGTGTATATTGTCTGGTATGTAAGTGCAGCAGGTGTTGTTGAAGAGGACACAAAGTCCCCCTTTCTCTGACAGTGTCATGTCCAAAGCTACTCGATGTTGCATCACTGCGATCCGTAATGCATTGATTTCCTTATTCTGCTGTTCGTTGTTCTTGCACAAAGCGTTCAAGAAGAGTCCAAAGCGGTAGTCCAGGGTTTCGATCCTCAGCATGTTTTTTTTCCGGTTCCCACCCAGAGGAACAATGTGTGGAGTACTTTCTGTCCAGTAGTCCACAGTTTGAATTCCTTGGGTACGTTGCTTCCCCAGATTGAGTCATGTAGTCTGACTGTTGAAGTTGAGCGTTTCTTCCTCGTTGCACATGTTGATGTTGATGTGCACTTTACAAAAGTCATTCTGAAGGTGTGATCAGAGATCAGAATTGGTGCACATGTTCCAGTGTGTTTCCCATATATGGTTGGGTGTGCTGATGTGCTCGGCATGTGCGAGCAGACGTAGCAGTCTTTTTCTGTGGTCCTGTTAAACACGTATCTGTATCAGGCATTGTTCATCCAAGGATAGATGTAGTCTTGTGTCATGTAGTCTTGTGTCATGTCCATTAGGTGGCAGTTGTCATGCGTCCATCTTCTCAGTCTGCCTCGTGGCTCAGCTGCTGTTGGCATCAGCTGGGGTCCTGTAAGGGTGAGCTTTGCAGTTAAGGTAACCAGGAGGGTTCCCCTTCCCATGGTTGCACATAGGTCCATCACACCCACACCTGGCTGCCCTAAAGTTGATCGGATGGAAGGTGGGAGTGCGGGCTTACCCTACGGGGGCCCAATCTTCACTCCCCCCCTCACCCCCAAAGCAACCAAAACGTGGGTGAGACTTCCCTTAATGTGCTTCCTCCTTGGTGTTGGGGCTTCCCGGGACCTCAACCTTTTTGCAGTGGCTCTAATGTATCCAGGAGGGTCTCTCTGCAATTTTACAGGCTGTGGGTGTGGTCAATAACACTTGATAGGGACCATCCCAGCGAGGCAAGCTCCAATTTCTCCTCTGGAGCACCCGTATTAGGACTCAAT